GCAGAAATACAGTTTAAAGATGCAAATCAGTAAAGTTGAAAACGTGTGTTATAAATTTTGCCATCTGCTTCAATACTGTACTTAACAATTGACATCTGATGTTACTCCTATGGTCCACCTCTAAGTTTTTCCATGTTATCAGATTAAGCAATAACTATCTTTATTGCTGAAATTGTACCATTTTCAAGTACCAAGCATTATTATAATTTTACATGCAGGCAAGTTTTGTTTAAAATGCGATTAATATATATGAAAATCCTCTGTTCACCTGCAATTAGCTGCAGGCAGTTATAGCTGTATCCCTGCAATTAACAGGGATTCTGTGTTTCTAATTAGCTCTCCAGGTACTTTTACATGTTGGAAGGTGGTTAGAATTTTTGCTCCTCCACTTAGAGCAATAATAATGTAATAAAACATAATGTAACTATAAAAATACTATATTAACTTAGGTGATGCAACTCACATAGTATTTCTCAACACTAAACAGGACATTTTGAGATTCCAACTAGGCAGTGCTTATTGCATGGAGTCCATCAACCTAGAACACAGAGAAATAGCTTGAGGCTCACATGCTGGATTCAGCTTGTCCGTAAGATGCAAACAACCCATAGGCTCTTACAAATTTTCTGCTGAAAACTTTGGTTATGGGCAAAGACTTCTCTGTTTCCGTTACTCTGGACACCTTTTAATTATTTTTGAAACATGTGGGACATGTGAATATCTAGAATATAACCAATTCAAAGACAAGTGTCAAACTACCAACCTGGACACACAAATACATTCTTCAAACATAAATACACAAGTTGTATAAAGGAATACCATACAGGCCAGTTCATGTGATAAGTGTGAAAGAGGAAGAGAGGAAGGAGAGTAACAGGCACCTCCAGTCATGCAACAGGGCCCTTTCCACACAAGAAGGTTCAGACTAACTCATCTCAGGTATGCAAGATCTTTTGATTATTTAGTTATTAAGAGGCTTTACAGAATGAATGCTAAAAATTCCATTCTCTGAGCACCAGATCCACTTCATTCATCTAACTAACCAAAAGGCTTTAAAAGCAATACGTACCAAAACAAAACAACAAAACAAAACAAGTTCTATTTGCCTCTTTAGTCAGGATGAAATACTCACAGAAAAAGCTAGCACCAGTATAACACATTTGTTATGAAATCTCCCATTCACAAATAGTTTCAGTTTAGTCAAAACCGGTATTGGAAAAAGAAAAATCAGTTTCTTACGTACATGCTATACTACTATAGAAAGATTAGAAAACCCTTCTTCTTTCTTCCTCTCTTTTGTCCTGAACATGTACAGTCACCTCACAGAAGCAGACCAAAGTTGTATTTTTATGTTTTCTATTTTCTTTCACTGCAGTGGGTATGTACAGTGTATGGATGCTAAATCTGAACCACAGTGCCTGTACAAATTACAGGCCGCACAGCTCCTCAGGCTGCCTGAGAAAGTAGCCTGGGAAAAATATGAGAAGGAATTAAAACAATTCTCAGGGACACCTGTCCTCTTGTTTCCCTTGCAGGAGAAAGTCAGGGGGGTAGTATGCCCCTGACCAATGATGGTGATGTAGCACTTTGCTAACCAATAAGAGTTTCCTTTCTGTACTTTCCACGTATCTGTCTATAAGACAGGGCTAAAGCAATAAACTAGAGGAATTCTCCTGCTGAGACTCCCTTGAGAGTCCAGTATCATTCTTTATAGCCGTTCCCAATCGGAACGACATACAGTGTATTATCTAATGAGAAACACTGTTTGCACATGGTATGTGCAACATAATGCACCTTGCTTATATTAAGATAAAAGATCATGAAAAAAACAGTTATCTTTAATAACTTTAAAAAAACTTTACATTTTGTCAAGATTCAGATGTCACCAGGGCAGAAATTTTGACAAAACGAGTTATTTTTCAATACTGATAGCACATGTTTAAACCAAACCACAACATCAGCATGTACTGAAAATACTAGGTTTACTAATCAAATTGAAATTATATTTGTAACTAAAAGTTAGACGATAGAATCGAATGCTAAAGGTAAAAAGGTAGTTTTAGGGTTTAGGAGAATGACACATAGGCTTTTACACCAACAGATGCTCAGAGCTTTCAGATGAGATGAACTTTAACAGAGTAGTCCCACTGAAATGTGAGAAACAAAACAGGACAAATAATTTATATTAGACCAACACCGGATTCCAGATTTAAGTCTACCAATACTGGTTTGTGCCTCTGTCTGCCTCTGTGTGCAGTCCTTCTGTCACAAGATAGAAGACAACTTCATTATTTTGATAACCGTTTTGGCTTACTTCTTTATGACAAACAGGAGAAGATAGACAACACAAAGAAAAGAGACTGGAACTTTTTCAATAAAGCGTTTAAAGTAGTATCTTGATACTTAAACATTAACTACATGACATAGTTCTGACTGACTGGCAACAGGCAGGGTTCTGGTCCAACTGTTACTGCAGTAATGTTCTGGGCCATGAATCACATATGTGATGTATGTATGTCTTTCTCTCTGCTGAGAAGTATTTCTTGTATCATCAGTAGCCCCAAGGAAGAATCCCCCTTTTTCAGCAATAATAAAGTTTGCCAAGCACTGAAACAACAATATCAGCCATGGGTATACCAGCAATGATGAGACACAGTCTAGGGAGATCTCAAAAAACCTTTAAAAAGCTCTAACAGTAATGTTCATTTCACCAGTGGAACACTTCACTAAACCCACACCTTCATGCACAAGTTGCAAGGACACATCTTGCATTTCTCTGTACTCTTTTATATTGCCTTCTGATGAACAGATTTTGCCCTATAACTAGAGTGAACTATTAGAAAAACCATGTATACGCTTGATGAATGACTACTGCATTTTTCAACTAGAGTGCCACACAGTCTGCTTTTCTAACAATAACCCTCACTTCCAGACCAGTGGTTTTTTCACACTACACAAATTTTCACATTACACAAACCCCCGTCCTTGCACAGTGTCTGTTCCTCAACTACCCAATACATACACAGAGCTGAACCACGCAAGTGTTAAGCTGAAGTGAATAACACTCTATTTCAGCAAGAATTTCCTTGGCAGCTACAAAAGCTACAAAATGTCTGTTTTCCTCTCAAGTCACTTCTTCAGAGGATTACACTCCTGTAAGCATAAGAGCAAGCCTAGAAGAGCGATTAATTAATTTGGCATGCTCACATATCACAAGTTGTTCTGGTTCTTCCACACTAAAGGACATCGATATACATACTCAAGTACAAAACATGTCTGAACCCCAGAGCTGTATTTCCCTGTGATCACTGGGGAGCCTTAGGTAGAATCACTCACTTCAGCTTCTACATCTAATAAACAGAGCTATACTTCACCTGCAAAACAGTCCTAAGTTTAGGAGTTATGTAGAAAATTATGGCTGTGATCAATGAACAGGATACCCTCCAGCCCGCAGAAAAATGAAAGTAGCAAAGTAATGGTTTAGAAATAAAGTGCCAAGTTGTTTCTGTGGAAGGTGACATGAAAAGAAGGGCACAAGCAACATAAATCAGCTAAAACACAGATCCACAGAAGTGCATTTATACTACAGCAGTGAAAATTTGAACTGGAACAGAATGAAAAAGTGAAGTATTTAGCAAAACAGAAGGAGAAAAATAAATGAGACTCATCTCGCAAACTGAGGAGGCCCATCAGCTACTGCTTCATAGAGCTAAGCATTAGAGTCCCAGCAGCTACATGTTTTCGTGATTTACTCTGCTGTGGCTCACAAATAAACACATCAGTCGAGGTTTCCAGAGCATAGATGTTCTCTTTGTGCAGAACAATCAAACTGAAGACGCAGCAATTGATTTTCTAATGTACATGAGACCTAAGTTTATGGTGCTTTTTATTGGTTGCTCTTGGAATGGATTTCCAATTTGTTGTAGAATACAATTCCAGCTTAGTAAACCTTTTGATCCTTTCATTTGGACACTCTTCCTCTCCAACTCACTTTTACTTTAAGAAGCTGAAAGCTTTCTGTACCAGTACACTTGGCTGGCTTTTTTTTTCCTTATCCATTTCCTCATTTTAACTTCTGAACAAGACACTGTTAACACTGTTAACACCCACTGCGAGCTGGCCACCTCGCCCAGATCCACCACATTTCCAACTGTAACCCCCACGAATACTTTTTTTTTTTTTACACTTTATATATGTACACATTTGAAGGCAGAACTAGGACAATTCCACCGCGGTTAGCTGTCGGAACGATAAGAAGTTTTTCAAACAAACAAAAAGACTTTGCAGATAACCCACTATCTACGCACACTTTAAACGTAAGCAAGCGAACTTTTCCGCGGAGTCACAAGGAAAGTCAAGCGTGAGGCTCGGTTTCCCCGCCAGGGCCCCTGGAACTGTCCCTGCCCGTGGGATGCCCCACCAGCCCAGCACCTCCCGAGAGCCCAGCGAGCTCCCTTACTTCTTGGTGTCGCTGCTGAAGAGCCCGAAGGCCGCGGGAGTCGAGGGGGTCACGGTGGGCGCCGCCTCCTGCGCCAGCTCGGGCGCCGCCTCTCCGCCCTGCTCGCTGTAAGTGAGCCCGTTGCCAGACATGGTGGTGCCGGTGGTGCCGCCGGTGGCCCCGGTGCCCCTGCTGCCGCCGCTACCTGCCCGCCCC